AGTGCGCAGGGCTCCCTCAAAAAAAATCCTGCAGTAAGATGCTTGTTAAATGCATCCTCGCCAGGGAAAATGACCTGGTTAACCGAAGCTCGTTAACAAAGGGACATCATAGTTTGACCCCCCCAGCCTCCCCCACTGCTGTCCGTCCCTCCCCTGCACCAGTCACTCCGCCTTCGCCAGCCCACCTTGTCGACTCGCACCCCACGGGTGCCCCAAGGCATGATCGCAACTCCTCAGTCGGGCCCCTCAACACCGCATCCCCCCCCTGATTGCGACTCCGAGCCATGCCCGGTGACCGTGGTCGACCCTTCTAGCTTCCCCCCAGCCACCACCGACTTCTGCCATGCCCCAGATACGCGACCTTTTCACCACGTTGACCTTACGATTGCCCGTAATCCATGTTTCAGGGGGATACCAACCACTCCTACGGTCGTCCCGCCAACTGAGCCATATTCACCTAGACACCACGCCAAGTTCCCTACAAGAGTGGGCACGACTTACCACATCTCGTCCCCGAATCCATGACACTTCTGCCCGCCAACAACGGCCCCGTCGACGTGGGATAGTCCCTGGGTCCTCGGGTGGCCCCGCTGCCACCACAGCGCCCCCGCCTAACTTCTTGCTACGTTCCTCTGACTCTGAAGACTGTGTGCCCATCCCTCCTACCCACACCCCTCAGCAAATTACGCGCAGCTCTATTCTCCAGGATGCTGGCTCCCATCAACCCACCCTGTGCCCGATGTCCTTGACTGTGTACTCTTTCCCCCAGACATCCCTTGACGTCCCTGAAGCTGTGCGGGCCGATGTGCTTCCTCGGTCGAGTTCTGGGCTCTTCAGCCCTGGCGCCTTTTCAAGGAGTCTTGATGACACCTCTCAGGCACCCACCGTTATTGACATCTCCTCGCCGTCGGGCGCTTCATCGCCCCTAGCCTCCCATTACGCTCCTGGTGCACGAAGTTTCGTCGACACTCACCCTGTTTCCTCCGCTGGCCGGCCTTCTTCTGCCACGTCTGCCCCGGCTTCCCTTGTCACCTCGCCTTCCTTGCCGTCCATACCTCTTCCTCCGGTGAGTGCTACCACGTTTCACCCGCCGTAGCTCAAAGTAGCCGGGACTCTGGAACGCTTGTGCGCGAGGGGTCTGAGTGAGTGCAGTCACAACCCCTAAATCCTAAACCTCGTCATCCTCAGACCGTTGTGATCTGCAAGGCCCACATGGAGCTCGCCAAGCTTTGGGGTCCCGTGGAGGCCTACGGCTTAATCTGAGGCTGGACGGTTCTGTAAGGTTCCTCTGGCCTCATGCTCAGGAGTACCACCCGATCAATCCGCAGCATCCCGAGGAGCCCCTGGTGCAGCTTCTGCCCACCTGTGGCCTGGAGCCATGTGCTGTCAGAGTCAAAGTTTGCACGTGATGCGTCGCTCTTTTCCAGCTGAGGTGTTCGTGTTAGAGGTATCATGTGGACCGTCCCAGACTCTAACGTGGAAGACGTGGAAGCAGCTGCGCCAGGTGGAAAAGCTGCTGGCCCGGACTCTTTCCTGTGGCACTCAGAGCCTTGGCCATGACGCGTTTGGGCCTTCTGGGAGTTGGGAGACTTTAGAGTTTGGGCCTCGCGCGAAGAGAGATCCCGAGAGCCTCCACGATCTCCCATGAGCAGCGACAGGATGAACCAGACTTGTCGACCACACCTCCAAGAAGACAGCGGGGGCGGATAGAACTTCTATGGAAAAAGAACGTTGTGGGCGTAACAACTCCCAAAAAACCGGGGGGGGGGGGGGGGGGGGTAGAACTTTAAACAAACCAGACATGAAACAGATGCCTTGCGAAGCGAAGCCCCAGGACATGACTTGGCGTCCAAATCCCTCAGCTGCTGGCTTGCTTTGTGGGCACGTGATCCCACCATATGGAGGCCCAAGGTTTGTTTTGGGCTTGGGGTTCGGGGCTTCGGGCATTTATGTGGTTTGGGGCCTTGAAGTTCAGGAAAGCTGGGTGTTAGTCCTGTGTGGATTCTCTCGGGCACATATGTGATCCTGATGATTTGCAACCACAGGAAATATGCTTTCAAATCCTTTGCCGGGCAGCGTTGAAGCAGAAGGTTAGAGGTGTGGTCCGGCGTCCGAGGTCGAGTATTGGTCGTGAGGGATATCCTTACGAGTGGAAAGCTTGGGTGCCGTGCTTCCAGGAGCGACCATGGTGGTGGACACCCATGCAGCATACAACAGGTTGTCCAAGGACACACCGTTTGGGCTTCAGTTATGGTTCTGGGAGTCGCGTCTGGTCATGGTTGCTTGTTTGTAATTTCGCACTTGCGTTCTCCAGTGAAACGGTTGCGAAGCGTTTGACTCCTGTGCCGGCATGGGTTTGCCTTCATGCCACACCTCCGACAAATGTTGACTACTTGACCTTGCAAAATACTTCCCCTGATTCGTCAACCGTTTATTTTCAACATCTTTTCGACCTTTCAGCGTACGCATCACAACTTCAGTGCCACATGGCGGTATGCTGTAAGCATAGCCCTCCAGGACTTGCAAGAGCTATTGCATCAAATGACGGGACACAACGATCTCGAGGTGCCATGTCAGATTACGGGGCGCGTGGCTTTCCTTGCAAAAGCTTACATTACATGCTCGCTGCTGAGGTGGGGTATGCGAGGGTGAACCGCCCCGACACGCGAAGCTCCAATCCGGACGGCTACAATCGTGACTCATCGAAGTACGGAGGTGAGTACTCGGCGGACCACCCTGCCGTGATTGCGCACTATGTCACTGGCCGCCCGCACATCTTCATCAACCCAAACTTCACCGAGCGCATCAGCGGGGCCGGCCTGTCAGAAAAGGAATGCCAGGAGGTGTTTGATGAGGTTTGCAATGTGCTGGACGATCCGGAGTTCCACTGTGCTGTGAAGTGGCAGGAGGTGGAGTCAGGCTCTATCCTCGTGTGGGATAACCTCGGGGTTCAACACATTGCCCCAGCTGACTATGAGCCTCATTTCCGGCTGATGCACCGTTGCGTCACCTTGGGCTCAGGCTCACCACGGGCCTTTAAGCCTGATCTTGACAGTGGTGCTTGTCCGAACGGCTGGGGGCTGTACGTCCGCTCTGCCTATGCAAAGGCGGGCTTTTGCAGCAAGAAAAGCGTCGATTTCTACAATGACACAGCCAAACTCTACGACGAGCTTGCGCATCCCGAAGCACCTTCTCTTTCAGTTTGGTGATGGATTGCGGTCTGACGAGACGCTCGTGGGTTGAAGGACTTACCAAGTTCCGAGAGATGCACAGAGAATCCCAGAGCCAAGGTCTGGCTGGGACCAGAGGTCGTGTCGGAGTACGCGAAGCGAGTCGCGCCCACGCCCAAGTGGTTGTCGGTGGCCGACGGCTCGGGGCGTTGTGCTGGTTGGTTCAAGGTTCAGAGGAAGGTTTAGCACTGGGGCTTTCAGGATATAGCGATTAAACTAGCGTGCACATCCGTAGAGAGATACTTATTTAACTTGTTAGCTAAAGCTGACGCGCCTGAAGTCTTAATCTTGGCCATGTTCAGGCAATGGTCCGAGCAGCCTTCATACCAAGGGAGACCTAATGGGTGTCGTTGCTTTATCTTGGAGAAGCTGCTATGAGAAGCTGAAACATGAGGCACGGCTAGACGAGGTGTCCTCGGAAACCAGGTGGACTCCAGGCGTAACCTCCTCCTGTCTCATGCCTTCGCAGGCCTTGGGGCTTGATTTGAGCCTCTGAGTCTTAGCCCCAAACCCTAAACCCTAAACCCTAAACCTTAAACCCGAAACCCTAAACCCCTTAGCCCCAAGAAGCCCGGAGAGAGCCCAGGTCGCAGGAGATGCAGTCCGCGCGCATCCTGGATTTCGGTGCGGGCACTGGCAAGCTGGGGCTCCGGCTGCAAGAGAAAGGCCGGACCAGGGGAGCCGGCTGTGGTTCCAAGCGCTTACCAAGATGGTTGGTTTGGGACTTAGAAGTAGCTTAGAAGCTACTTCAGGGACTTATAACTAACTTACCACCAGCTACCCTACTTATAACCTACTTATAAGCCCTTTTCAACCATCTTGGTAGGGTTTAGGGGGTTAGGGCCGTGCCTGCGAGGCCGCAGGTCTTGAACTCCGGGTGCACCCGTCAGGTTTCCAGAACGTGGATGCTGTGGAACCTGCAGAGGCCAAGAACAAGCACGCGCTGTGCGCCCTAGGCTGTAGCCGTAGGATTTGGGGCTTAGGGTTCAAACTGGTTTAGGGGCGTGTGGGTTACGTTTGCTGCTGAGTCTGTTGATTTTGTTTGAGTTCAGGGCTCCATGGAGCCTGAACAAGCTTGCTGAAGCCCTGAGCCCCAAATCCAACGCCTTCTGCAACCCAACTGGTTCCTTACTGGTTTCTTCCTGGTTTCTTACTGGTTCCTTACTGGTTTCTTACTGGTTTCTTACTGGTGTCTTACTGGTTTCTTACTGGTTTCTTGACACCTTGAAGCCCAAAGCTTTAACTTGGATGTCGGAGGCCATGCTGGAGCAAGTGCCAGCAGGCACATACCAAGCGACCTTCAAGGATGCTCCGTCAAAAGGTAGGACTCAAGACTTCACGGTTAGGTGCTAATCCACTAGTGGAGAGTTGGAGGTGTTTGATTTTAAGAAACGTTAATCAGGAAGGAAGTTGTGGGTGTCTTGAATGCCGAAGGGTTCACTACATGCAGTGGGACGCAACATCCCTGACCGTTAAGCATTGTGTTTTCTAGCCAACAGCCTTGAATTTGCCTCTTTGAAGTCTTTCTAAGCAGAAGGCTCTGACACATGGTTGAGGCTGAAGCCTTTCGGATCAGGGCCTTCTGAAATCTTTAAAGGGGGGGCCGGGTTGATATGTAGTGAGCTCTCAGGGTTGACACTTCATGGATCTATAGTCTGGGGTTGGGCATCTAGGCTTCAAGGTATGGAGTCTACCCTGGTTCTGGTTTTGAGTGAGAGTTAAACTTGAGGGAAGTTTTGTCAGGAAAGCGACACAGGCTTGATTGGTTCGGGAGGTCCGTTGAGATTACGGTCTTGCCCAGGATGGAGTTGATGCCCCGGAAGCCTCGTACGACATGATTGTGTCGACGGGCGTGATCGGCACTCATGTTGGAACGGAGGGCGTCAAGGAGCTCATGCCCAAAGTACAGAACGGAGGATCTATCCTCTTCTCTTGCAAGTACGACACCTACCAAGCGATGAACTTCGATAGCCTGGCGACCGGGGGCAACCAGTGGCAGCAAAAGATTGTCCACGGACCTGTCGCCCTGAACCGGGACATGCCAGACCAGCAGCACGTCGTGGTGCAGATGGTGCGTGAGGGCTGAGCAGTAGCAATGGCACCGTAGGTCGATCTACATGTTTTCATTCTTGGGACTTTTGCCCATGGGTCGGACCAGATCTTAGGTGGCTGCTGCCAGATATGTAGATACACACTGACTGGTATGGAACGGACACCTTTATATCAGCTTGTTATGAAGATCAGCTGTCTTATGCAGCAAGCCTATGCGCTCGTCTGCGTAGCCCAACCCATGCGGAAGATTTTGAAATCTGCCTTTGCTGTCGCTGATCCTAGGGAGCAGTACGACGAGAGGCAGCAATACCCCGGCTTTCCGACGGAGGCCGACAAGCGCAAGTCCAAGGTTGCTGGTCGTTTGCGGTCAATTCTCTCCCGTGGACGCAAAGCACCTTGGGCCAATCCAAAAATCTTTTAGCGATCGCATAGCCATTTGAGCACCTTCACAATACCCATCAACTGAAGGGCGCCTGCAAGTGGAAAGTGCCAAAGACAGCACGGCGTTGTTGAAGCAACAGGAGTGGGGAAAAAAATTCTGCAAGCTTTCACAGGATGTAAGTCCCCGCAAGGCAAAACGGTTCCGCCAACCGAACAGGAAACCTAAGCATGCAACAGCGACATCAGATTCCAGCCTCACAGTGGAAACTCCGCACAAGTGAAGACGACAGGACGAAAAGAACTGCAGCAATACTCACCTAAGTGGTGCAGGAGTTGTTGTGAAGCTGAAGAACAGACAGAGGGTCGAGGAGTTGAGGCCAAAGAGGTGAGGATTTGACTTGTGGTTGAGGTTGAGGGTTGAGGGTTTTGGGTTTAGGGTTTAGGGTAATTTTAATGAACCTGCGGCACAACCCTGGTCACTTTTGACGCACGTTACAACCCTAAGAACCTAGAAACCGTCGCCGCGCTGGTCCCATTGAGGCCACTTTGCTCAAGAAGCCTATGCCTCAGCTTGTTTGTTGTCCTTAAATGCTGTACTTCCTCAGAGAAGAAACCAGTGCCGTCACGTTGACCCCCGCAATATCTAGAAGCAGTTCTAGTTGAGGCTATCGTGCGTTCTTCATAACCCTAAACCCTAAACCC